GAGAAGCAACCTGTCACTGAACAGACTCTTCTGGTTGTTAATGGCCGTGTGCAGAGGATGCCCAGCATTGTTCATAATGTCCAGCAGTTTTTTTAGTGTCCTTTTCTCTGCCACCTTAGTGGCATATCATCCCCATGCTGCGCCAGGGCATATTGGGAGCTCATCTCTGATCTTTATCATTCAGCTTATTGTCAAATGCTTAGAAACTAAATGAGCAAATGTGCAATAAAACCTGAAGAGATTAATTTTTTACAGAGACATCGTTAACTACAACCCCACAAATCTGATAAATTACCAAAAAAGGGGGAAAAAAAGAAAACGAATCACCTTTGTTCACTCATATGTCTACACCAGGATGGAATTCCAGTAGCTGCTGGTACAAAACTGTCAAAGCCTTTTCACATTTTTTTCTTTAAACTGAGGATCTTGCCACTCTTCAATTCTAGATCCTCTGAACTGACGCGATTAGCTTTGTAAACGTAACTATGGTCTTGGAGGTGCTGCAGACAAACCCACATTGTGCACGCGGAGATCACGTTTGATTATTCGTTTGTTTTTTTCGTTTTAACTGCTTTTTCTGCCCCATGTTCACAGGTGGTCCGCCTACGCCTGATTTTTGCTACCTTTGCAGAAGCTAATCATCAGAAGAAGACTGCACGCGTATTTCCTCGTGTTTGCCTTTGTTTACAAGACCTGTGCTGGCAAATGGTATGGGGGCAGTAATTAATTTCAGTTCACTTTAATAGGTAATTGCACTACCGAGCATCAGGATGAAAGTAGAAACGTTATAGATTCACACGATTTGAGAGTTGTGTGTTCACAGTTAGTGGAAGGCTTTGTGCAGGAATGCGGGAGTGAACCAGGAAAAGAAACAATCGCTCTCACCGGGGGCTAAATCTAAAGCACGGTCCCTTCTCAACAGTTTTTGACCAATCAGATAGACGCGCTTTCTCTTTTATAAATAAAAAGAGAGTGTGTGTAAAATAAAGAAGATGCCTATCAGAGAGTGCCATCTCTGCAATGACTCGTAATTACGCATTGACAGGATGTTCCGGTCCCATTTTACACCGATTCTTAGACCAAGTTACTGACCTGACCTCTATTTCCGTTTTTTCCCCGCATATTTAGCACCAGCGGCAGAAAACTGTGGAAGTTTTCTTTTTACAAACCCATCTTCTTAAGTCATGGTCTTGCAGTCTTGACTTTAGCACGTGAAGAAAGCTCCGGTACACACACACACACACACACACATCAAGACGGGTTTATCTTTTTCCCTCTACACCGCCCGGCTAGCTCAGTCGGTAGAGCATGAGACTCTTAATCTCAGGGTCGTGGGTTCGAGCCCCACGTTGGGCGATTCCTGTTTTCTTGGAGCAAGCAACTTCCTCACGTGTGAAGTCTTTGCACGCATCCAAGAGTTAACTCAACCCACTACAACTTCCAAGCTAGGTTCAAGGTTCTTTATTTGTCACATGCGTAGTTATGCAAGTATAACACACAGTGAAATGTAGCCTGACACGCTCCTCGACATGTGCAAAAATGATGTGGGGAGAGGAAGAACATTATATATATAGTATATACACTGGGTGAATGTGCAGTAGCAGCAAGCAGGTGAATTCTGTACATTAATATGAATAGACATCTGACTATTTTACAGAATAGACAATATAAACATGTTTAAAATTAAAGGAATTGAAATGTACATTGTGCCTTGGTTTAGTGTCTGGAAGAGTCCTGTCTCAGTCAATTATAGATGATGTGAGAGGGCGGGTGTGTGTGTTTAGGGCACGGATGGCTTGGGGATAGAAGCTCCTCTTGAGTCTCTCTGTCCTTGCCCGGAAGATGCGGAACCTTCTACCAGATTGCAGAAGTTGGAACAGTTTGTTGCCAGGATGGGACGGGTCCTTCAGTATCTGCTCTGCTCTAGTCCGGCATCTCTAGCAAGACTAGAGCTAAGCAGAAAAGCTAGCAAGACTTATCTGTTCAATCTAGCATTAACAGCTCCATTAATATTCAATTCAATTTTATTTATATAGCGCCAAATCACAACAAAAGTCGCCTCAAGGCACACACGTACCACATGTTCACAGCATCTAGTAAAGACAGGCGTAATTATGATAATAATGAACTAAAACACAATCAGGAACTTCAGGGTGGATAAAGATAGACAGATATAATTAGTGTTGGAAAAGAAATGACACTGACCTCTCCCACAGTGGAATTGAAGAAAAGGGTATGATGCCTTCATTAACATCGGACAACAGATTTAGACATCAGACAGTAAATTACAAAAATGATGTTTAATCAACATCAACGTGATTTTTTTATACAATATTATGTGAATGAAACACTTTAGATTTATTAGTGAAAAATAAAAAGAGGGGAACGAGTGAAACTGTGTTAGCTGACCACATTCCATCATGTACGAGCAATGTAGGGAATACTGAAGCACATTCTTTCAGTTGATAAACTGCAATTTATTTTGCATGCACTGCTTAACAAAATGATTGCGTTTTAAAACGAAATCGTCCTCAACTGCTCTATTAAATCTGACACGGGTCTGGATGAACCCTCTGCCGGCTGCTGTTCGAGTTTCACGAGCAGTTCCTCGGTTTTCCACCCGTCCACTCGGGTCACATGTCGAGACATTTTCTCACACACCTCTTCGTGGCCTTCAGCTTCCCGCCCTGAACCAGATCAAACTGAACTCCCGATAAAGCAAAACCCCGTTACTCTACTTGGGCCAGTTTCCATTAATTCGAACCGCTCTGCAGCGATCTAGTTTAGGTCAGCGGTCCTGCAGCTCAAGGTGGGGGAGACACTCGTACCTGTGGCGGCTCTCCTCGCAGAACCTGGCGACCTGCTGAAGAGCCTCGCACTGCAGAATCTGTTCAGAAGTGTTCTGCAAAACAAAGCGTGGTTGAATATTTATGTTAACCAGAGTTTATCTAGAAAATAAGTCGGGATCCACACTGGCAAAGTTTGACAAATGCAGTGGAGCAGAATGAGGCGTTTGGACTTACAGTGACCAAGATGCAATGCAGGTCGCGGGATTCGTTTCTGTTGCTGGTTTCGTCTAGCAGCTGAGCGAGCCGCCTCATTCCCGTCACTCGCAGGATGTCGAGGTAATTGTTGTAGCAGAAAGCCTGCAGCAGTTTGAAGTGAATCTGCAGCGCAGCGTCATCTTCATCCTCCTCATCAAGGGCCAGCACACACAGCACCGCGCCATCCGGGTATCTGCGGGTAGGACAGGACAATAATAAACCCCACATAGCGTCAAAATCACTATTATTCTGACAGTACAAATGAATTGCTTTACATTAATACTTACTCATTCAGGAATTTTGCAGACTCATAAACTCCCACAGTCAGACAGTTCTGATGATGAGCTGTGAGCAATACATGTTCCAAAGTCTGGCTGATGGTCTCCATCTACAGAAACACGAAGGAAAGTAAGTATAATACAGACTCTAAACAAGGGCATAAAAGCGTATCAAAGTGCACTGTAGCCGGATTCAAAATGTAACTTGTGTCAGTGCGTAATTACGCACCAAACATGCCTATCTTACCTTTTTCTGTGTGCTGCTGGATTCCAGAGAAGAAGAAGAAGTAGTCGGAGACAAGTCGGTGGTCATTGAGCAATGACGAATCTCTGTCTCTTCAGGTCAAAACTTTCATACCTGCTCTGGGACGTCACACCTTACCACTCCCTCTGTTACTGGCCAGCTGTACCCCCCGTCCCTTTTCAAAATTCGCTCCCTGTCTCCCTCCTCTTCTTTCTGCACACAAGTTTGTTTGCTTAAATCCTTCTCGTTAAAAAATAATAATTAAACTTTGGAGAAGATGATTTTAGCATAGGGATAACCTCTCAAGATAAGGCTGTATATTAGCTTTGTTTTTTATGGATGAGCCACTGCAAGAAGAGGCACGCAAAAATATTCAAAATAATATTCTGATATCTATATTTCAAATGTATGTGCAGCGTCTCTGTTCCTGTCATGCTTCACATCACGCATGTTTGACAAACATGACTGGAAGCGCCCTCTCCCTCTTTGATCAAGTCATGTAGACCTGGAATGGACCTTTTGGAGATGTGCACAGTGAGTGGGTTTAAACGGGTTCTGCTCTTTTGTTTGGTGAATTCGAAAAGTGTTCCGGTGGACGCGTGAAGGGCTCGCAGAGATTAAGGTGAAAACAATGCAGAAAGCTGTGAGCTGTAGCTGATGGTTGGTTGAAAGTGCATTGATTGTTTCTTTAGGCTGATTCACTCAAACATTAAGGACATCATGTGTTCACTGTCCCTGCAGGGATAAGACCCCCAGAAATATCTGGGCTCTGTACTCAATCTCTGGACTGTGTATTTAGATAAGATTTATGATTTTAAATCTCTGCAGTTTCTTTCACTTGTAAGTATTTATCTTCATATTCAGTGTTTATTACATTAATACGTTAATATCAGATAAAATTACAAGATCAATTAAGTGAAGGAATCCAGTTTACACAAGATGTGGGGGCATTTTGTGTTAGTTTATGTCAGTCTTTGAGTGATTTTGGGGTTTTCTGAAAACACCTCCAGGAAATGTTTCAGTTGAATCATGGCTATTGTGTTTAATGAATGAGAACATTAAACTTGATGAAGCCCCTAATAAGGTCTCGTGCGGAAAACACCTGATTGATTAAAGACTTAATCAGTGGCGCTGATAAGGTGAAGCTGTGAAGTTTACTAACAGGGTCGCTGTTACAGGCATGCACCCGAAATGCGTCCACAGTCTTTTTTTTGTGTTCAGTTTCAGTTTGCTCGTTATGAGGGGATGTGGGTTTGTCTGTCTCTGTCGGCAGAGAAAGTGTGTGATAGTTAGACAAAGGTGACAAAAAAACTTAGTGCCAATAAAAATTCCAAGATCACATGAAAACTAAAACTAAAGATTTTCTTAAAACATTTATTTTAGTTACATTTGCAAGCAGAGAATAGCCCGAAGTCTGTTTGGTTTAATTATTTTTTGTCATCTGGCCTTGAAGCATTTTGTTGTCGTGAAATTTCTGTACAGCACTGACAATGAAATGAAACAGCGAGATGATAAACTTTATTTGGCTTTAGTTTTATTTTAATTTTTGTTTTTCTCTTATTTTTCATCAAGACAGCCCCAGGACGCTTTGGCGCATCCGTTTCATTGGCAGAGATATGACTTTGTGCAGTTTTCGCTTTAAGAGGCAGTAAATCCCTCGTTTTAAAAATAATACATTGAAAGTTTGAAACTGAGGATTTCACCTTTACCCAATTTTTTTCTCTTTGCAACTTTAGAACGTGGATTCAGAAACAACGAACACGCTGAAGAATTAAATCCTTCACTTTTATTTACAGCAACGACAACAACAACAACAACTGCGGCTTGGGTAGCGATAAGAACAAACGTAGTAACAAGAAAGGCAATGCACCGACGAGTCCCTCCGTCGGCTTTCTTCGCAGAAGCTGCTGAGGATCTGCAGGGCCTGGCGTGGAAGCGGCTTCACTGGAGGGACCTGCGAAACACAGCGAGGAAGGACGGTGAAACTCCCGGAAAACACATCACTTTGCTTCTTATTCGAAGTAGCCTATCATGAAGCCAAGTGTACAAATTACAACGATTTTAATAGAGATCATCGGCAAACATGTTAACTGCGCAGCAGCACAAATGGAAATTTGGCTTACAGTGACCAGAATGCAGTGCAGGTCCCGCGAGGCCTCGTTGCCGTTGATGTCATCCATGTTCACCAGCTCTGCCAGCCGTCTCGTGTCTGTCGAACACATGATGCTGACGTTCTTCTTGTAGCACATATCCTTTAGCTGGATTAGATTCATCTGTAACATAATGTCACCCTCCGTTTCCTTTTCGCTGGCAAGGACGCACAGGACGACTCTGTGCGGGTTTCTGCGGGAAACAGGACGACATTAATGTCACCATTGCCACGTTGTTCCACTATTAGATCAATTACTGCATTTGAACTATATTTAAACGTAAAAATTAAAATACTTACGCTTTCATGTATTTGTAGGACTCAATTACACCGATTCTGAGGCAGTTCTGGTGATAAGCTTCCACGAGCAGCTCCTCCAAAGCCTGACCCACCATCTTGATCCTACAGATACGCAGACGGTTAGAAATGCGCACAAACTAAGACAAAACAGCCCCAAAGTCAACAAATAACCCCAAACAATGAGAATACACCCTAACCCATGACTCAGCATTAGAAACTGCTATAAAAACCCGAAACTGGGATGAAATTTGAGCAAACTTACAATGTATCGTGTAGCAGGGGTGCGTAATTACGCACCACTGAGATACAATGTAAGTTTTAATTTGGAAAATTGAGACTTACAAAATCAAGTTAGCGTAAACAAATATAGTGATTAAAGAAATCAAATCCTTTTTCAGACACCGCAGAATGTTTCACTGAACTGAAACACAAGCAAACTGTGGAAACCCCCCCGTGAAGTCTTACATCCACTGTTCGGTCATCTTGGATGTAGCAAAAGTGCAGAGATCCAAAGCAGGAGCAGAGTGTATGTCTTTAAGAGAAACTGAGCCCAGTGGATCAGGTCCTTCATTTATACTCAGGTGGGGTGGGTTGGCCCACCTGAACACAGTAGGCGGTTTGAAGGTAGACAGTTTTAAATGGTTTTAAACATGTATTTGCAAGTCACGTGTGCGAATGCTTGGTACAAAATTCAAAAGTCCGAAACAGAAAATGTCTTCTTTAAACGGCAAGAAATGTATAATTACACTTTTTTGGACGGGAGGTTCTGACACTGTTATACAGCTATAATCATGTGTAATTACCTGACCTTACTTCGACCGAAGCAAACTTTTAGACCAGGCACCCAGCCCACGATTATTCTAATATTTATCGACAATTGGAAATTAAAAAGTAAAATAAAAACTTTAATTGAGGTCAAACAAACATGTCTGTGCGTCCCCCTTACCCCCTCGTCTCCTACAGACTTGAACTGAAGTTCGTACACAGCAACACCAGGTCTCGGACCCCTACCCCCACCCTGCCGGTGGTGGGGTGTAGCTGGGACAGAGAACCTTGCTCTCTGCATTGTCTCTGCAGATCTCATTTCCCCTAAATAATTTAGACACTGCCTTAATATGAAGTGTGTAGGAAATTAAACTCGAAATTGAAGATCAGCAGTTTCCGTAAATGCGTGTTGATTAGTCTTTGGAATTGTGAGATGAACATATGTATAATTCAATAAAAGAGTGTTTCATTTCTTTCTCTTTTGTTGTGCATTTGTGGACTTCCTGAGGTTTTTAAATGGGTTGGGGTTTCCTGGATTCAACTTCATGATTTACAATGATATAAATAAAACACCCCAAGAGAAAGGAAAAAAAACTGTTATGTTTAACATCATGTTTAAACATTTCCGTTAGGAGAATTAATCAAATCTTACAAGTATCAATATTTAGACTTCCAGAGAGCAATGTAAACCACTTCCGTTTTAAAATAAAACATTTTATTTGTCATATTTCTAAAAACAAAACAAAAACAAAAAAACAACTTGCAATTTTTAGAATGCACGGAAAATAAAATTTTATTGCTCTTATTTATTTTAAATTTTCTTAACAGGTTAATTGCTACTGGGGTCAGAAAGATCCTTCTACAGGTTAAATAATAATTCATACATTACATTTGTTATAGAAATTCTGTATGTATAAACATAAAAAAAGCTAAAATGAAACAAATGTTCCCCCTGACCCTGAACAGCGCAAACACCGACAGTGTACCTCAAAGCAAATATGAAACTTAATTTGTCACGGCTCTTTCAGTACCAAATTCAGCTGAACGACTGTTTTCACACTGAAACACACTCCACCCACTTATTAACGTTTCTTTTCTTTTATATTTTCTGTATATAACTTGTGCATGTCCTTTTGTGTAGATACATTCCCTGTGCAGGTACCTCTTAAACGTATTTTATCTTTATTAATCTAATTGTCTTATCCGAAAAATCTGAATGCAAAAACCTAAAAGCTGCAGAGAGACGCCAAACAGTGACAATAAAGATCTATCTGTAAGACAGATAAGAAAACAGGTTGGAAAGTGCCAGACTGACTCACTGTTACAGGGATTCACCTGAGAGAACCTGTGGTAGGACTCGACTTAAGCGGTCAAAGAAGTGCAGGAGACTGATGCTGTCCAGTGTAGCAAGTGATTTATTCACCATTTTGTGGCCCAAACAATATTTACAAAGAAACAAATAAGAAACTCAACCCTATAATTAACTCAGTTCAAATAAACATAACTGAACTTAAATGAACAGAAATTAAGGTCAAACTGCACACAGCTACACTGACCTGAACCTTTCTCCTCAAACACCTGAGTTCTTCTGCTTAAATAGTCCACTTAACCAAACAATTTCTCCTCTGGACTATTCCATTCAGTAGGTAGGTAAGATGAACATGATTATATTCAAACCTCTACTAC